GGGGCCTCAGCTGCTAACACCCTTTCTGGTGAGTTTGGGGTCCTGGCCGGGGGGTGGGGGGCAATGACCCTGGGCTTGGGCCCAGTCAGCTTTGGGGCATTTGGACCTTAGCAGACTGCAGGGCTTGAGGAGGGAGTGGCTCAAGGCCAGAAGGGAAGGCCTGCCACCTGGGCCCAAGGAGGCTGACAGGTGGCGACAGATGTTAAAGCCTTCTCCCCCTCCCCTCCCACAGAGCAGGACCTGATCGGCCAGGACCTGAACTCTCGCTACCCTGAGGTGGTGGGGGCAGGGGGCTCAGCCCGGCCCCTGGCCTTCCAGTTCCACCAGCACAACCACCAGCACCAGCATACCCACCAGCACACCCACCAGCACTTCACCCCTTACCCCCCAGGCCTGCTGCCACCCCACGGCCCCCACATGGTGAGCTCCTCATTGGGCCGGCGATAAGGCTCAGAGGCTTGGGGGGAGGGTCTGGCTTCAGGGGAAGGCCCGGGTCTCTGGCTAGCAGCTTACTCTTCCCTTCTCTTCCCTAGTTTGAGAAATACCCAGGAAAGATGGAAGGCCTTTTCCGGCATAATGTGAGTGCATGTGTGTGGTGTGTGGGCGTAGATGCGTTAGTGCGTGTGACCCTAACTGTTGGGGGTCCAATCTTCAGCTTCAAAAGCAAGAGCCTTAAGCTCCCTGGGGGGCTTTAGGGTGGAGGCCAGAGGACTGATGGGCAGACCAGATGTGGCCTGCACCTCCACCCCCAGTTTGGACTAGTCCCATTCTCTCCACAGCCGTACACGGCCTTCCCTCCCGCAGTGCCCGGCCTCCCTCCGGGCCTCCCGCCGGCTGTCTCCTTTGGCTCCCTGCAGGGGGCCTTCCAGCCCAAGGTGAGCTCCCAATCTAGACACTGTCACCACCCCCACCCCTTAAAACCCAAACACCTCCAGGTCCACATACCTCCTTCCCATTCTCCAAACCATGCCCATCTGCCCTCCCCGTGTGGCCCCGTTTCCCTAAAGCCATCGTTCCTCCCTGTCCCGGTCCCCAGCTTGGTGACAGACCCCTTTCTGCCTAGTGCCGGCTCTCCTGACTGTTTCCTCCACTCCCCTTTCCCAGAGCATGAACCCCGAGCTGCCACCACGACTGGGGCCAATGCCAAGCGGGCTTCCCCAAAAGGGGACACAGGTGAGGGGGCCAAGGCAGGTCCTGCTGGAATTGGAAGGTCTGTTGAGTAGAGCAGGGTTGACTTGAGCATGAATCATTGACTGATCCCTCCTGTTGATACGTGTTGGGGGTGTTGCTGAGAATATGATGTGAGAGAATTTATGTAAATGACAGGATTTCCCAGGCATGAGGAATGGGAATTTCATGAACTTGCCCGAGAAATAAGATTATTAGGGCAGTGATTTCGATTTTTTTTTAAGTTACAAAACTTTTTCTCCCCAAAATGACATCATACCAGGAAGTCCTGTCTATAAAACAGTGAAAAGATAAGCTGTCCCTTTGTGAAGTGGCACAAGGTGACCAAGCCTTCCCTCCCACTTAGGGCCCAGGGCTCTGGGAACCGTGAAAAAACACAGGATGTATTTCCTAAAGGACAGATTAGACCAGAGGTTTTCCAAACTCTCTCAGCAGTAATAAAGGCTTTTCTCTAAAGAAAGCTTTAACAGGCCCTCACATAAAGCTACTAACAGGACAGCTTCTTCTGTTGAGAAATCATTCTGCCTGCCCACTAACCACTCCCAGTCTCCCAAGCACAGCATCTTCTTGGAGCCTGGCTCAGGACCGTGGTGCTGGAGGGGAGAGGCTCAGAGTGGGAGAGGTAGGGAAAGGAGTCTCACCACCAGCAGGAAAGGATTCAGGGTGCCACACAGGTTCTCAAGGAGATGTTTGGGGGCGGATTTGGGGGCTGCGGCGATGAGATGCCAGGTCAGTAAACAGGTCTGAATCGCCACCAATCTGCTTTGCCATCCCCAGATCCCTGACCATTTCCGGCCACCTTTGAGGGTGAGTGTGGTTGAAGACCTCAGGCTGCATGAGGCTGGGGCTGGTGTCAGGGTGTTTGGCTGAGGGTGGGGGAGGTCATGCTTGAGAATGAGTGAGAAATCCAAGACATGGAGGCAGCCAGATGTGGAACAGCAGAAAGAGAAAGGACTGTAAGCCAGAGACCTGGGTTCAGATGTAACTGGTCATGGGACGTTGGCAAGACAGTTCATCTCTCTGAGCCTCAGTTTCCTAGGCTGTGAAATGGACTTAGTCACCCTCATTTGTAGGGATGATAAGAGGAGATGATGTGTGGCAAGTCTGGGCCCAGGGCCAGGCCTGGAGTGGGTGACGAGTGAACATTCTTTCCTTCCCTTTCCCTTTGGTCATCCTTCTGGGGCGGCAGAAACCAGGGAAGTGGTGTGCCATGCACGTGCGTGTGGCTTACATGATCCTGAGACACCAGGAAAAGATGAAGGTACTGGGGCCGGAGGGCTGGGGAGAGCGGGCCTGCCTGAACTCTGGGGGTCTGCCTTCTGCAGAGCTTGGCAGAATCTTGGCCAGAAACATCCCATCCCATCTCTGGTCACTGCCTTAGCAATTCCGAATTAGCACTAGGTTCTCTGGCTAACTAGACGGGTGGTCAGAGAAGGCACTCAGTCCCCATCTTGGCGCCAGGCAGCCCTTGGAGGGGGTGCAGGGGTAGAAGAGCAAGAGGACAAATCTGGCTCCTCACTCACTGCCCCTCTCCCTGTCCCACGCAGGGCGACTCCCACAAGCTTGACTTTCGGAACGACCTCCTGCCCTGCCTTCCGGGGCCCTATGGGGCCCTGCCCACTGGCCAGGAGCTCTCCCACCCGGCTGCCTCCCTCTTCACTGCAACTGGTGAGTCTGGCCAGCCCTCTTGGGGCCTAAGGTTCCCATATATAACCCAAGGCCCACCTTACGCCCACTCAGCCTCATCAGAATCTCCCACCTCTCTGCCCCAGGTGCCGTCCACGCTGCAGCCAACCCCTTCACGGCAGCTCCCGGGGCCCATGGACCCTTTCTGAGCCCCAGCACCCACATTGGTAAGAGCCAAGGGCATGTTGGGCACCTCAGGCCTTATCTGTGACTTCCAGGAATTCTCAAGCTGGGGATGGAAGTTAGACCCGAAAGGCAGCTGAAGTGGGGGTAGATCTGGTTCCACTTGCTCTGTGACCTTGGGCAAATTACTCTACCCTCTCTGAGCCTTGATTTCATTGCCTGTAAAATGGGATAGGAAAGGGCATAGTGATTGTTCATCTCTGCCAGCCCAGATAGTCTCTGAAAGAACAGCCAGTGGTAAAGGGTATGTGCCACCTGGGAGAGGAAGGTGGGGGAAGGCTGCACAGCCCCAGGAGAGCATGGTCGCTGGTTCCTAGCCAGCTCAGGCAGGCTGTTGGGGGAGATTTCGCCTGGGTTCGGGTGGACAAGGATTTGAGCCTGATGGCATAGGGCAAGGTGTTCCTGGAAGAGGAAATTGTGAGGTCCCATAGGGGTAAGGTTAGTTGTTCTGACTGGCGATGGGACATGTGCATGAAATTAGGGTCAAGCTGGGAAGGGCTCTGCATGTCAGGTGGGAGGAAGCCGGCAGAGGTTTTCAGGTCACTGGCTTGCTGTAGAGCTGGTATGGGTGGCTGGTGTGGGGGCGTGCGGGGTGAACGCTTGACCTCTGGAGTCAGAGAGGCCCTGGTTTGACTGTTGGCAAGTCACTTCACCTCTCGGAGCTTGTTTCATCACCTGTAAGTGGGAATGATCCCAGCTGCCTCATCGGGCTTGTGAGGTTAAACAGTACTGTGCATGTCAGAGCTCACTGCCTAGCCTGGCCCAAGGAAGTGCTGAGCACCAGGTGGTTAAGGTGAAGACAAAGCAGCCGAGGGCTTCGGGGCCTGCTTGCTGATCTGCCTCTTCCCTGTCAGTTCTTGGTGGCTTCTCAGAGTGGGCGGCCCGATGCTCTGACCATCCCTTTTCTCCTGCAGATCCCTTTGGGCGTCCCACAAGCTTCGCCTCCTTGGCTGCCCTCTCCAACGGGGCCTTTGGAGGCCTGGGCAGCCCCACATTCAGTGAGTCCTGGGTAGGGTGGGTAGGAGGCTGTGGCAGTGGGTTAATGTGCTCAAGCAGGAGGGGGGCGGGGTGCCTGATTGGGGCCTCCCGCTCCTGGCTCCTGTCACTCTCTACTTTGCCCTCTGTCTAGACTCCGGCGCCGTCTTTGCCCAGAAAGAAAGCCCAGGGGCCCCACCAGCCTTCGTCTCCCCCCCAGACCCATGGGGTCGCCTGCACCGCAGTCCTCTGGCCTTTCCTGCCTGGGTCCGGCCCCCTGAGGCCGCCCGGACACCAGGCTCAGACAAGGAGCGGCCTGTGGAGCGGAGGGAGACTTCTATCACCAAGGAGGAGAAAGACAGGTATGCTTTCCGCAAACTGCCCGCCGCCCGCCCCCCCCCAACCTCACCCTCAGCCTGCATCTGACCTCTGACCTCTGGAGTACCTTTATTCTCTCCCCCCACACCTGCCCCCAGGGACCTCCCCTTCTCACGGCCCCAGCCCCGAGTATCTCCTGCTACTCCCAAGGCCCGGGCTGGTGAGGAAGGGGCCAGGCCAGCCAAGGAATCGGTGCGGGTAAAGGAAGAACGGAAAGAGGAGGCTGCTGCTGCCGCTGCTGCTGCCACCGGGCCTCAGGGCCTCCACCTGCTGTTTGAGAGGCCCCGGCCACCCCCCTTTCTGGGCCCTGGTCCTCCAGAGCGCTGTGCTGGCTTTTTGGATCCAGCCTGGTTGGCAGGGCCCCCTCGCCTTGCAAGGCCACCCCGCTTCTATGAGGCGGGAGAGGAGCTGACTGGACCAGGGGCAGTGACTGCTGCCCGCCTGTATGGTCTGGAGCCTGCCCATCCCCTGCTATACAGCCGCTTGGCTCCTCCACCGCCGCCTACTGCGGCCCCAGGAACCCCTCACCTTCTCAGCAAGACCCCACCAGGAGCCCTTTTGGGGGCACCGCCTCCACTTGTGCCCGCCCCCCGGCCTAGTTCCCCACCTAGGGCCCCTGGCCCAGCCCGGGCTGACAGGTGAGGGGAGGGGAGGGGCAGGGGCAAAGCTCCATCCCCCTTTCCTTTTGATAAGATCCTAGAACTGAGGTTTTAAGCCAGGGCTGGAGGGCAAAGGTCGCGACCTCACCAGCCATCTCTGAGGTCATGGAATCTGAGAACAGAGCCCCAACCCCCATGAGATCAAGCATCAGATGAACCTTGGGGTCATTGGGAGGGCAGAGGTCACACACTTCTAGAGAGGTGTGTGTGTGTGTGTGTGTGTGTGTGTGTGTGTGTATGTGTGTGTCTGTACACATACATATGAGAGTGGGGGTCATTTCAGAGGTCATAGCTCATAGATCTCCTGAGGTGCACCATCGCCCCTGAGGGCCCCTAGGCCCTTGGCCTGCCTCCCCAAGGGCTCACTAAGCCAGAGGCCAAAGTGCCCCCTCCCCTTCACCTACCACCCAAGTCCTCATGCCCTCTCAGGGTTGGGGGAGGAGGGGCTAAAGGAAGGGGAGTTCCATGTACATATTTATCTCCCCTTCCACATAGCCCCCCAGACCTTTTGTACATTTTTACAGGGGTGCCCCTCCCAATAACCCCCCTTCCTGGTTAATTAAATCCTCAGACTGGTGCTGTGTTCCTAGCCTCTGGCCTCTCTGTGGGGGGAGGGGAGATTGCAGGGGGAAGAGCTGGGAGGGGACAGGCAGGCCCAGGGCTTATCCCTAGGAATATGGGGTCCAGCAGGAAGTGGACCAACAAGGGAAGGGACCTGGTACCTAGGCTGGAAAGAAGTGCAAATGCTTCCTGCTTGGCTGACAGCCCAGGTTCCCCCCACTTGTTCCTGTTACCTCTGTGTGCCCCAGCCCCAAAGGCTCAACCTTTAAGCTTCAGAGTCTACTTCTTTCTTAGTGGCTCAGTGCCCCCACTCCATTTCCAAGTGCCCCCAGGACTCCTGGGCCCTGCTCTCTAGAGCCCTGTTCCCAGAGCCCTGCCCGGCTACGGAGGGCCAGAGAAGGTCACCATGTACCACACACCAAAGAAGGGGGTCCGCTTGGGGTGGGCCACACAGGCAGCTTCCTGAGCAGCCTCTGGGCAGCAGCCTCAGCCTTCCCAAAGCAGCAGGTGCCCCCAGGCTGGGGCCCAGCCTAGAAGGCGGGGGTCAGTTTAACAAAAACATAATGTTGACTTTTTTCCCAGGTGGGGCTTATTCTGTAACATGACTTGCGGATATTTATATAAAAATGAGTGTTACAATGAGGCCCCTTGGCTCCTCTTTCGGCGTGTGTCACCTGGGGTTGGGGATTGGGCTGGATCGTGGAGTCGGGGTGGGGGGTGGTTGTGAAGATAATACTGTCTGTGTCCTGACAAAGGTTTTCCCCTCCCTCCCATCTGGGAGAGTTCTACTTCTGGATGGATGGATTGGGGTGTTGGGCACTGGAGTTTTTCACTTTTTTTTACATCCCGGGAGTACATGTTAAATAAGATTCAAACACCACGAAAGAGACAAAACAATTTCCTATACATCTGCCAACCCACACAAGCCCCACACATCCAGCAGTAACCACTGTCAACATTTGGTATATGTTCTTTAGGCACCTTTACTGTGTGTTTACCTGCACATATATGTGCATACATGGTTATGTTAGAAAATACCTATGTTTTAAAAATTTTTTAGACATGATCATTATTAATTCAAACCCAGAAATATGTAGTACCAAGGGAGAGTGCCTCATAGCCCCACCCCTCAGAGATGCCACTGTTGATAGTTGGTATATTCCTCCAGTTCTCTCTAATATGTGCTTAAAATGGAGTCCTGTGAAAGGTACTATTTTGTAACTACCTGTTTACTCTTAACATTATTCTTTGATGTAATCATTAAAAACAAGTGACTGAGAGGCTGGCTCCCATTCAAGCCACCCAGAATGGGCTTGCTCCAAGTGAACCCATCTCCGTAGAAAAGATGCTTCTATCCAACGTCTCTGAGCCACTACACATACCCTAGACTTCTAGGGTAGACTCAAGCCTAGATTGTTCCAACAGAAATCAGAAACAGGTGGCCAGGAGAAACTTGGCCTTCAGACAAGGTTTCACATGGCAATCCTTGTTTTCCGTTTCTGAAAAATCAGCTTGCCTGCTTCCCCTATGACTGTCCCTTGAGGTGGGGCACGATCTCTCCAGATGGCCACTGTCCCATCCACTCCATTTTTAGGAATGGGCCATTGTCACTATTCAGGGTACTGCCCTGGTCCCTATAAGCACTCTGAGTGAAATATCTGCCTGTGTGTACCCCCCCTCTCCTAGATCTCTCCCATGGACCTCAGATATCCCTTAGACCTGATACTGTGCTCCCCACCCCATTTCCATCTCTGCAAATGTTACCAGCACCCAAGTCGGAAACCTCCCTGTTAACTCACCTGATTCACTGAACTGCCCTTTATTATTTCAACCATTGTTCACTTCATCAAACCAGGAACTGAACTAGTGGCTGGGGATACAGAGGTAAACAAAACAAAATTCCAGCTTTCCTGGAGCTAAAAGCTACTATGAGAAGAGCAACAGACATACTGTGAGAAGAAAAAGAGGGAGAGGGAGAGGGAGAAGGAAAAAATCCGAAGGGCTGCCTTCTTAGGGCCTGTCCTTGCAGCCACTATGTTCCATTGGTTCATCTCCACGCTTTCTGATCCTAATGCAGGCGGAGGTCAAAGAAAAGTCTGGAAGTGACTTCCATCCTGGGGGAAGCAAAACCAAACCCAAATCATTCACCATCGAGAGGCTGCTATTTGGAAATGTTTCTTTCAATGAGCTCAGCAAAGTAGCTATGTACCCTTAAGCAATGTGCTTATTTCTGTGCCATGGTTTATTTGTAAAATGGGTTTTTAAAAAACAGCTTTATTGAGATCATTCATTCATAGGCCATACAATTCACCCAATCTTTTCTGACTGGCTTCTTTCACTTAGCTTTATTTGTTTCAGGGTTCATCCATGTTGTAGCTTGTATCAGTACTTAATTTTTTTTATTTGTTTTGTTTTACTTTTGTTAATTCTCACCTGAGGATATTTTTCCATTGGTTTTTAGAGAGAGTGGGAGGGAGGGAGGGTGAGAGAGAGAAACATTGATGTGAGAGACACATAGGTTGCCTCCGGCACTCTCCCTGACCAGGGCTGGGGATTGAACCTACAACCCAGGTACATGCTCTTGATCAGGAATCGAGCCCACGACCCTTTGTGTGAGGGCCAATGCTCTAACCACTTAGCAGCACCGGCCTGGGTGGTACTTAATTTCTTTTTATTGCTAAATATTCCATTGTATGGCCAAGACCACATTGTGTTTATCCATTCTTCAGTTGATGGGCACTGGGTTGTTTCAACTATTAAGGATAATGCTACTGTGACTATAAGTGTTTGTACAAATGCATGTTCTTAATTCTCTTAGGTATGTACCTCGGGATGGAATTGCTGGGTCATATGTTTAACATTTTAAGGAGCTGCCAAACTAATTTCCAAAGTGGTTGCATTCCCTCCAAAATGTATGAAGATGGAGTTTTAATGGTTTCTCCTAGTATTGCTGTATGAATTCACTAAGTTTATAAGCACAAAGTTCTTAGTACAGTGCCTTGCACAGACTAAGTGTTCATGGAATTATTGCTGTCATTACTGGTGACGCCTTCCTCATCCGAAAGTCGAAGAAGCAGATCTTAAGAGCTCGATTAGGGAGAATGCTTACTTATAAGCAGTTGGGGGGGGGGGGCATCTTTCAAAACCGGCTTTGAGGTGGGCAGCATCTGTCTATGGGCACAGAAGAAGGAAGGAGGAGCCTGAGCCAGTGAAAAACAGAGGTTCGGAGCCTTTCTTTTACATCAGACAGGTCAGGGTGAGTTTGGCCTTCACTAGCCAGCTCTGTGACTTTGGTCTAGTTGCAGCCTGTTTCCATGGTGGACAAACAGGGAAAATGACAATCCCAGCCCACAGGCTCATTGTGATGGTCACATGGGATAATGCATGAAAAGGGTGCTTAGCACAGAATTTAGTACCCAGTGGAAATTCACTAAATTAGAGTGTTGTTACTGATTGTAGTTGGAAAGAGTAGAAATAATCCCCCTATTCCAAAATAGGCAAATTGAAATTCAGAGAAGTTAAGTGACTTACGGAGTCAGGAGAAGAAAGGAGACACTTGGGGAGGAAGTTAAAAATAAGCTCTATTATTTAGGACAGTTTTAGATTTCCAGAAAAATTACAAGGATATTATAAGAGTTCCTATATGCCCCACACTCAGTTTTTTTCTATCAACATCTTGCATATGTTACAGTTAGTATTGATGCATTGTAATTAATTTAAGTCCATACTTTATCTTGATTTCCTTAGGTTTTAGCTAATGTCCTTTGTCTGTTCCAGGACCTGCATGAACACCTCATTACATTTAGTCATCATGTCTCTTTAGGCTCCTTTTAACTGAGTTTTCCAGACTTCCTTTGCTTTTTATTATCTTGCCAGTTTTGAGTACTGGTCAAATATTTTTATTGAATTTATTGGGGGTGACATTGGTTCACAAAACCATACAGATTTCAAGTGTACAACTCAAGAAAACATCTGCACATGGCATTGTGTGCCCATCACCCCAAGCAAAGTCTCTTTCTGTTGCCTGGTCAAATATTTTCTAAAATGTCCTTTACTTAGGATTTGTATGTTTTTCTTAGGATTCGACAAGTTATGGGTTTGGGGAGGAAGCAAAGGTAAAGTGCCATTTTCATTACATCATATCAAGGGTACGTACCTTCAAGACGATTTATTGCTGTTGATGTTGACCTCAATCACCTGGCTGAGGTAGTGCTTGTCAGATTCTACTGCAAAATTACTCTTTCCCCCTTCTTTCCATATTCTGTTCTTTGGAAGGCAGTCACTGTGCACAGCCCATACTACAGGAGTTGGGAAATTATGCTCCACCTCCTTGAGAGCAGAGTATCTGCATAAATTATTTGGAATTCTTCTGCATGACAAATCTGTCTCTTCTCCATTTGTTTATTTATTCAGTCACTTATTTAAATTATGACTATTCATGGATATTTATTTTATACTTTAGGTTAAACTCCAGTAGTACTTTATTACTCTACAGTTTTCAGGTAGTTCCTGTGTCCCTCTGACATACCCCCATCATTGTGGGGTGGTTTTTTTTGTTTATTTGGTTTTTTTTTTAGCAGAGACTTACTTTTTACTGCTTATCCTTTTACTAGAGGCCCGGTGCACGAAATTTGTGCATGGGTGTGGTCCCTAGGTCGGGCTGGCAATTGAAGCGTAAGCATCTGGTGTGGAAGGGCAGGTCCCAGCTGACCTCTGGGCCCTGGGCAGCACCTGGGCCGCCCCTGGGCCGTGTGGCCCCCTCTGCCTGAGTCATCGGGCCCCTGCCTGGTTCCCTCAGCCCCTGGGAGCCGGGCAGCGGCCCTGCCCCCAACCGTCGCCGCTGGTCGCCATCTGCTGGGCAATCAGCGGGGCGATTGGGCCCCACTCACACCTGCCTTGGCCTGGCACTGCCTGCTCACCTGCTCCACCATCTCGCCGCAGTCCTGCTCTCATCAGGGCCTTTCCAGGCCAGCAGCACCTCCACTGCCGCCCGCTGCCAGCACTGCATCACCGATGCCCGCCATGTTCCACACTACCCCCTGGTGGTCAGCGCATATCATAGTGAATGGTTGAACTCCTGGTCGAACTACCGGTCAAGGGGACAATTTGCATATTAGGCTTTTATTATATAGGATATCTCTGGGTTTTTCTCTTATGTGCTGTTGTTAAAAGTTAAAAACAGCAGCTAGCCATAACTGGTTTGGCTCAGTGGATAGAGCGTCGGCCTGGGGACTGAAAGGTCCCAAGTTTGATTCTGGTCAAGGGCATGTACCTTGGTTTCGGGCACATCCCCAGTGGGAGGTGTGCAGGAGGCAGCTGATTGGTTGTGGCTCAGTGGTTGAGTGTTGGCCTATGAACCAGGAGGTCACAGTTCGATTCCTGGTCAGGACACATGCCCAGGTTGTGGACACAATCCCCAGTGTGGGGTGTGTAGGAGGCAACTGATGAATGTGTCTCTGATTCTCTGTCATCACTGATGTTTCTGTCTCTCCCTCTCCCTTCCTCTCTGAAATCGATGAAAATATTGTTTTAAAAAAGTTCCTAGCTTGTAAAGAAAGGTAAAGTCTCCTTCTTTTCCCTGATTACTCCTCCCCTGCTGCATTGCCCCTTCCCAGGGACACCATATTGATTTCTTGTTTGTTT